CGAGGTATGCAGACCTTAAGGTACGTGTACTTTTTAAAATTTACAAAAATGCCCATTGAAGAAAATTTACAAAAATGCCCATTGAAGAATCGGCGGGCCATGACGTCATGAATGGAAGAATCGGGAGAATCATGACGTCACATGGCGATTTACGGCATGGAATTGCCGGTTCTTCTCTAGAACCGAGCGATTTCCAGTATTTCACTGGAACCGGATCGGGTCTGCAGGTTCCCTAGTCGAATCGGACGAGTCCAGTTCGACTCGTCGACTTTTGAATCACTGGGGATAACAATGCCAAAAATAATTATACAAAAGAATTTTTTATTATGAAATAACCATGTCGGAAAGAAACCAAGGCAAAGAAAAAAGAGTACTATTTCCACAAGGGCATCACCTGTAAAATACCATACTCACATATACAGTGGTAAAATCAACAAATAGATTAGGAAAGTTCAAAATCACTAAAAGGGTGGCATCATGGAAGTGCCAATTCCTGAACCTCAAAGGTAGATTGACTTCATTCGGAGCCAGATTTTCATTTTTAATTCACTGTCTCTTTTTCAGATTCTACTAATGTAGGAGCAAAGTTGGAAACATTGTAGAAGGGAATCTGAAGGAGGGTAGGCAGTGAAGGTCAATATGGTCACCTGGTCAGGTCCGAAGAGGTCTTAAACCTTAGATAGGGTGGTTTTGGAATTTCCCGTCTTAAGGTTGATGAACAATGGTTCTATTGAGCCAACAGCTTTGGTGCTAAGGGAACCCAAAATAAAATAAAAAAGAACAAGAAAGCAGTATCGAATTCAAAGGATATCAAAGCCGAAATAAATCCAACTCCAACACCTGCAAATAAATCCCCAACATGTCCATCAGTCAGCAGCATGTCGATCAGTCACATTCCGAGAAAAACTAAACTAAATGAATAAATAAGGTTGAATCAAATGTTTATGAGAAAAGCACTAAAGTGAGGGGAAAAAAGATTCCTTCATTAAATAATATGCCTATAGTGTAAAAGGTCACATTCAGCAGAAATCCCTTGAGTGTAACAAGCAAAAGGTTATGGTGGGCTCATCTCCGAAATTTTTCAAGCCATAATAGTTCAATATCAAATACATCATATACTTGGCTCAAATTTCATTTCTTACTTCTGGCAGCCACAGCCATCCATGTTCATCAATGTACTACTTTTCTTTCCTTTTTTTTCATAGTTTCTTATCAATTTACATTGCAGAAAATTTGTTGTAACTTTGTTTCTAACAGTGTTGGTTTTTCTGGAAATTTGTTAGCAATTTATTTATGTAACATTGATGTTTCTTTAATTTCTCAATGCTATGAATGCTATAGTGGGCAAGTAAAAGAAGCCTACAGAAAGGGTGTTTTAGTGTCTAGTAATCTAAAAAGGAATCCTGTGGAATGGTTTCCTAGTTTCCACTTTAGAATGGAAACATCACTTGGCTGCCAACCAACAAAACGACAATGTGATAAAACCTACAAACAAATCAAAAACCACACATGAGACAATCTCAAGGATAGCACAACTGCAAGACTGCTGGTTTGTTTACGCATTCCAAAAAGAAAAACAAGAGAAAAGAAAAAACATAACCACCATATATGTCAAGAAAAAGGGCCTGATTCGTCTTACCAAATATGTTTCATATTGCATATATTTCCATGTTAGAGATATTTCAATGGAAAAACATAGTCAGATAAAGCAGTTGGACGGCATCTCTTCGAGTTGCTAAAGAAACCATTAAGTTTTAGAAAACACTACAACAATATTTAATTCTTTAAATAATTCACTAAAACATTTACTTTCTCATGAAGGAACCCTATCATTGACGGTCATGACAGCCTAGGCAAGTGCTCTAAGATTCTCCTCCATACATTTCTTCCACAAAAACATCAACAAGTGCGGCGAGTCAATAATCCCACTTGAGTGACTTTTCTCTTATCACAGCTTCTCGCTAGCCTTTCTGGCCTTTTTTTATCCGCTGATTCCCTGCAGAACCAACTAGTTGTATTGCAGCTAGCATCATTTAAGCTATTGCTCTATTTTGGGTCCTGATTGATATCTAGAGGAAAGAATGTGGTAGGAAGTATCGAGTGCAGCATCGAAGATTAAGCAAGATGGGGCCAAAGGATTAACTCATAGATATGATAAAGAAAGATTTGCCTTATGCACACTGTTGAAATCATCTTCTAAACATTTTGTGCATTGCAGCTAACAACTAGCATCCACTGCACTAGCTGGGCCCATGATTGGTGCAAATAGCAACTTATGGTTTGCAGCAGTTACCAAGAGCCTGATCTGAAAACTTAATAAGTATCGGCTTCAAAAGAAGTACAATTGCTTGCTCCACGGTTATTAGAGGAAAATACAACTATAGTATAGGCCTAAAGACACATTTGAGAATAGTGTTTGACATAAAACTTGAGAAAGCTACAGTATTCCACTACATTCTTAAGGTAGAAGTGGCAAAAACGTCCATTTTTTTGGATAATTGGGCTCATCTTTATAACAACATAGATGGAAGTAGGGAGAAGAGATATTGTGACTTATGGTCTGACAAAAGATATGGCCCTTAATAGAGCATAATGGTAGAACAGGATTAGTGCAACTGACCCCAAATGGTTAGGATAAGGCTCGGATGATGATGACGACGATGATGATGACGAATTGGGCTCATGTTTATATCAAAGAGAGTATATCCCTGACCCCTAAAGTAAAATTGAAAAATACACCAACTCTCCAATTGAAGCCAATGCTCAACATTGATTTGAATAGGAAATGCCATAGAGGATGTTCGTAGCCATTATTTGTAAACTTCAGTGTCATCAAAATTGGGACATTTGGTCCCTTCAAAACCGCTCTGGCCGCCAGTCAAATCAATCGAACCCAATTTAAAAAAGATAAAGAACAAATTTACAAATTTACAAATAAGAAATCTATGCAACCCTAGATAATCCAAAAGCCTCTGCACTTTAAAAGAAAATATTTGCCACGCCCTATTCCTACCAATTGCATAACATTCCAGTCCTGCAAATTGTGCAGAAATCACAAAGACCATCAGCTTTTCAACTAAAAGATCTCCGAAAGTCACTGCCCTTCACTTGATGGTATGAAAATGTCTTCTCTAAAAGAAACTTTTTCTCTATAAAAGTAAAATGAAACATGTTTTATGCAAGCACATCTCTCTAACCAAGCCTAATATCATAATAGTGATTCCCCTCTTTAGGATTAGGTTGCCCAAGAAAACCTTAAGGTGCGTAAAAAGAAGTAAAAGGGTTACATTGAGCTTCCCATATTTTCTAATGCCACATTAGATGAGAACTCTTCTACTCAAAAAAGGAAGTAGTTGCAACAAGTGGAATATCTTTAAGGGAAGGAAAACTTCTCCTAGAGCATTTCATCATTACCAATCCTCCATAGCTACCATAAATCGTGCTCTCGTACTTGTGGTTCCAGCCTAGACAAGGTTGCACAAATATGGAAACCACAAAAAAATCGATCACCGATTGCAGAAGAAGAGACAATTCCATTGGGCAGATACTCCATCAAGGCTTGTTCCTAGATGATACCACGGGTATTGAAGGAACCATCATTGATTACTTCAAACACCTCTTCTTTGCTCCCTCTTGGTCTTTACCTCATATGTCCGACCTTTCCTTCCTGACCATCTCCCTAGATCAATCCCAATGGATAGAAAGACCCGTCAGTAAAACCTGAGATCGTCATCGCAATCAAAGACCTTGGTCAAGACCATGCCCCGGGCCCGGACGGCTTTCCGGTGGCACTCTTTAACCGCCACTGGGACATCTTGCGGTTCGACCTTCTAGGTTTTAAAAGTTTTACGAGCAAGGCATTATCCACCAAGGGATGAACGCCAAGATCGAAGGCATTGTTGAGCTGAAAAATTTCAGACCCAGTAGCCTCATGAACAACTCCTATAAGATATTGGCCAAGGTCCTGGCCTCAAGGTTCAAAACTGTCTTAAACTCAATCATATCCCCCAACCAAAGTGCTTTTGTCAAAGATCTCTAGATCTTGGATGGTGCCCTAGTAGCACACGAATGCATCCACTCGAGGATGTCATCCAAATCCCCAGGTATAATTGCTAAACTAGAGTGGGACCACGTCGACTAGGTGCTGCTCGAAGAAACTAAAAGAAGGATGGGCTTCAAAGCCAGGTGGAGGAAATGGATCCGGAGATGCATTCATGGCCCTTACTTTTCTATTATCATTAATGGCTCCCCCAAAGGATTCTTCAAGTCCCAGAGAGGTCTTAGGCAAGGAGACCCCCGTTTCTCCCTTCCTCTTCGCGAAAGCAGCTGAAGTGTTTAGTAGAGCTACGGCTAGACTCTACCAAGCGGGCCTGGTTGAATGTTTCCAAAAAGGAGCTCAAGGCCCCTCTATTTCCCACCTCTAATACGTAGACGATACCCACCTATTTTGCAAACGACAACAGCTCAAGTCGAAATGTTACTCCTTTTGCTTCAATGCTTCCACTCTGCAACTAGTTTCAAGGTCAATCTCCAGAAATCCAAAATGATAGGCATGCATGTGGACCCCCTATCTCTACAATCATTTGCCGACAACTGGGGCTATGGTATTGATTCCCTTCCAGCTACCTTGGCCTACCTCTTTGTTTTGGTAATCTGAAAAAAGCACAATGGAGTCACATCATAGATAGGGTTGGAAAGAAGTTGGCTTCCTGGAAAGGGAGATTCCTATCTCCAACGGGGAGGCTGACCCTCATCAAAGCAATACTTCAGGGGTTCCTATTTTTCAGATGTCTCTTTTCCACCTTCCTGCTTCGGTGCGAGCTCGCTTAGAGAAATTGATGCATAATTTCCTATGGTTCGACGACGGTAACTCTAGAAAGTTCCATCTCCTTTCCTAGAACACGGCCTGCCTACCCAAATCAGTAAGGGGTTTGGGGATATGCAATCTTAAATTGCAAAACCTGGCCCACCTTTGCAAGTGATAGTGGAGACTTGCCACCCAAACCGGGGACCTGTGGCACCTCATTCTTTGCTCCAAATATCGCCTTTCTTCCTCACCCTGGTACATCTCTGTCAATCAAACCTAGGCGGTCTCTAGTATTTGGAGATGCATTATGCACTCCCTCCCCCTTTTCAATTCCCTCATTAGATTCCACCCCAAGAACGGGTTTAGAGTTCGCTTTTGGCTAGACCTTTGGGTGGGTGGCGAGTCCACACTTTCCTTTCAATTCCCCAGCCTTTTACGTCTTGCTAGAAACCCCCAAGCCTCGATTGAAGACCTTTTCCCCAGCTCGGACTCCTCGCGCTCCTGGAACCTAGATCTTTGGCATCCCTTGAGAGACGAGGAACTACCCATCTTCCTTAATCTTTCCTCTCTTCTTTCTTCTATCCCCTCCCTTTCCCCTAGAGAGGACTGCATAGTCAGGACTCCGGACCCCTCCGGGGCCTTCAAGGTCTCTTCCCTATTATGTGCACTCAACCAGGCCAATGTGGGACCCTCAACCACTAATCTATCTTGCCCCAGAGCTTGGAACCCATTCATTCCCCCAAGAATCGAGGTTTTTTCTTGGCTTGTGGGGGAGAGTTTTCATTGTCGACTAACTTCAAAGATGAGGCTTCCAGTTGCCCAACAAATACATGATGTGTCTCTCCGAGGAGGAGACCATCGACCACCTCTTCATCCATTTCCCGTTGGCAAGCGACCTTCGAAAGGAAACACTACTAGTCTTCAACAGGGTATGGGTTACCATAGGATCAATACCCAGACTTTTTAAGTTGTCAGCTTTCCTCCCTTGGGCCAAAGCTAGAGCCTTGCTTTGGAAAGCCACCGTTGCAGCGACCATTTGGTCAATATGGAAGGAACACAATAACCGGATCTTTCAAGGTCTCTTTGCTCCTCTCCACAAAACAAAGGAATCGATCAAGGGATTGGTTATCTTTTGAGCCTCTAATCACAAACATTTCAAAGGCCTGCCTGCCCACGATTGCCATCTCAATTGGGTTAATATTTTCTCCTTCAGGCCAACGAAAGTATCTCGATCGGCCCTTTGGAGACCCCCCGATGGACACCATTAAACTCAACTTCGTCAGATCTTTCAAGGTCTCTTTGCTCCTCTCCACAAAATAAAGGAATCGATCAAGGGATTGGTTATCTTTTGAGCCTCTAATCACAAACATTTCAAAGGCCTGCCTGCCCACGATTGCCATCTCAATTGGGTTAATATTTTCTCCTCCAGGCCAACGAAAGTATCTCGGTCGGCCCTTTGGAGACCCCCCGATGGACACCATTAAACTCAACTTCGTCAGGTCTTCTTTGGGCAACCCTGGCCCGGCAGGAATAAGGGGAATCTTTCGAAACCATGGCGGCATCTCACTTATTTCCCTCTCTTCCTCGATTGGGATAGCGGATTCTACTAAGGCAAAGGCCCGAGCCTTGCTCGAGGGAGTGAGACAGTTTAACCCCTCATGGGATTCATCCCTTGTCATCGAAGGGGATTCTAAGAACGTTTCCCATTGGGCATCTAACTTAGCCCAACCCCTTGAAGGCTCTAGCACATCTTTGACGAAATTCATGATCTTTGCAAGAGTACACAGGTCTCCTGGACACATATTTGAAGGGAGGCCAACCGAATAGCAGATGATCTAGGAAAACAAGGAGCTTCATTGGAGTAATAGTGCTTTTGGTGGATGCTTTCTGAGTGCCACAGTTTTTGCCGTTTTGTCTGTTGTATTTGCTTTTAGTGTTCATGTTTTCTAACGTGGTAGTTTTAGCGCCTTTTGTGTTTGGCATTTTTTGCTTTCTCGTCTATTCTTTGTTTCCCCCATCTTTCTCGTTGTTCCTCTGTCATCCCTCTCGGTGACTTTGCCCATCACGAGTCTTTGTATCTTTGTTTTTCTCTCTTCCCTCAATACAATGTCAACAGACTAAAAAAAAAAAAAAGTCACATACAAGTAACACAATTATTATGAAAAACATGGGAGAAGGTAAAGAAGGGAAAAACAAAAGAAAACTTGAGAGAAACAGCTCAAATGAAATTTTAATGCATGGTAACACCTCTACACAAGATATTTTTATATATAATATGAGTGATTTGAAAGTTTCAGCAGTCAAGAAGATTCCCAAGAATTTCACAATGGTAAATCATGGACATCTTTAGAAAATTAAGGTTACCTCTCTACGAAATTTTTAGCACACAATATGTATTTTCATGCAAGTTTAGGGAGTCAAAGTTTTAGGAAAATATATGAATTGTTAACAACAAATTTAATTAATTTGGAACTTTCAAAATATACTCCCTATCCGGTTTTCTTACAAAAACATGAGTTAGCATCATGCTTAATAATAAGAAAACATAAAAATAATTACTACAAGTCATTTCATCATCTAGATAAAAAGTAAAGAAGCAGAACATGTTGATCATTAGTGTTTATGCTAACCCGAAGACATTGATCCAACGAAGGTCTCGAGAAACCTCACAATGAGCCAAAAGAAGCTTTGCTTGGATGAATGACTGTTGAAAGATGACATTGTCCTGATAATGGAAGGAACACATTTGTTAGAAACCAAAAACCAAAATAATAATCAGCTAAATAATCGATTGATAAAAAGGTAAAACTCGTTACTTAAGACATACCTGTACAAAGAAATTGCCATCTTCAACATAACCCAAGTAGCAAGTAAGATCCACAAATTCCACAATCAATGATTGATTTAGATATTAAACAAGTCTAACGCATCGAAAATTTCATAGAAGAAGTCAGGTACATACTGCATCATTTAGGACTGATTCTCCAAAGACCAAGGCATAAAGGTTCATATCTGTTCCTAGCTCCTGCACAATAACGGTTTGTAAATTATAATGGAGTTATGTACATTCTTCTCCTATTTTGTCTTTTTGCACAGAAGCAAGCACAACTTCATTCTCAAGTCAAACCAATCAAAAAAAGAAAACCTCCTTTCTCAATTCATACATAAATTGCAGAGAACAGTTCACCCATTGATAACAATCAAGCAAAACCACATGGAAGTCGCAAATAAATTTTGATCATTAAAGGAATGTTTAGGGTCACATTGAAAATAAGACATCCACAAAGAGCAAAAGCTAGAAATGCCAAGCAAGTCCACTCAACTTAATTACAGCTACTTGTTTATGTTTTCTGACAGATAATCATTCATTGTATCCTGATGTGCACAATCCACAGGCACATAACAACAAAAATGTACTGCAAAGCAAGGAATAAAAAGGTAGCAAAGAAATCAAAGAGAAGACAAAGAAGTAGACCACCAAGAAAACGATGGGAGAAGGTAAAGAGTCCCCCCAACCCTTCCCAAGAGATGGAATACACCTTGCAGTTACGTTCCCAAAGCACATGGGAACAGTGGACCCCCACTCCACTTCTCTTGAATATCTCCTCCATGATGTTGGCTATCCAAGGTAATCAATCTTTCTACAGCCATCAAATGACCTAAAACGATTCATCTCCCATGATCAAGAGGCCCAAGAAAAAGCAGAAGAAAAACTCAAGGCCCATTTAGAATAGTTCCTGCTTATAACTTGGTGGAATAAAAAACATAGCTTGCAAAGGTCCCAAGAATCTACCCAAGATCATCTCTGATTTCGCTACCCACTATAGATGGCTCAGCTCCCCAAGGACACAGCCATTGAAATGGAATTCCTAATAGTCATCCATTTATGTGGTACTACTGATAGTGGTCCTAGTGATACTTCTTCCAGTTAGTAGAGATCAGAACCTCTGATCTGAAAGAAAGAATTATTTAAGGTTGAGGGTGCATGTGATCAATGAATCCTGATGCATTGCACTAACCAAATTCCGCAATTGAATTCAAGAAAACTCAGCATGCTTGTGATTAGGACTCCCACCATTTCTCTCCTCTAACCAAGGATCCTCGATTATATATAACACTCACCACTAAGCTCATCATAGATGAGAAGTCACAAAATATCACTGTGCACTAATGCAAGGGAGATCATTAAGGAGTATGGTACTCTCACAAACTCCATTCTTTCCTCTGTATCAAAAGGCATGCACTACTGGAACAACTAGCTATTCCTATCCTCTTCATACTGAAACTTTTTTCCCATATTCATCCTCCCAAATTTTGATTATTGTATTAGGTCAATGTCCAACCCATTTCTTTATGATACTCCCCAAGGTCAATCATCTAGTAAGGTCTTAAACCCAAGGTTATATTTATTGATTGTGAGTGGCTGTTATTTAGAATTTCATAGATGTGCTTCCAATTGGTTTAAGCGGGTGTAAACAGCTTGGATTGAGGTTTAGATGAGTTGATCATTGAGATGTGCGCGACTTCTCTGAATATCATATGCACTTTTATTCTTTTCAAATTTTTATACATTTTTCAAGTGAGGTTTCCCCAAATCCTTCCCACAAAGTGGCTAATTTCTTGAAATGCTCCTCATTCTGGCCAATCCAACACAGGCTCCAAATATAAAATTTGAAAATATTGAAATTAACTATCCATGAAAACTGTTTTGCCATAGTGCTAGAGTGCCAAGAAAATTAGTTACACCCACATATGCCTAAAAAGGTGAACAAAAAACACATCAATGATTGAAGTGTAGCATGAAGAGTTGGAGATTGGAATCATAGTTATCAAGACCAAACCGAACAATCCGATCTGACCAATCAACCACAATCAGTGCCTCCAGGTAAGGTCCAAAACAAAAATTCAGTTTGGCTGAGTACCAATCAAACCCAAAGTTTGACTGACTTTAACTAATCGGACCAACTGGTTTCGACTAGTTAGACAGATTAAACACAATTGAGCAACTTTTTTTAATATATTTCATATTTCTAAACTATTATTTATATTTCACAATTTTTTTGAGTCCGGCCCAGTTCGACTTCGACCGGCGGTTGGACTGATTTGATTGGACTAGGTCGCACATAGCTCAATGATCGGTCTGATTCTAATAACACTAGTTGGAATGCCTACCATACCAATAGAGCAAGTAAAATAATGGTGCTTAGGGACCACTGCATGAATCAATTGATGATGATGGCATGAGTTCATTGGTCCATCGTACTTTTCACCTGCTCGGGGATTGAGAGAAAAAAAACAAAGGTCCCTTTCACAGATTAGCAACCCAAAACCATAATTCAGCCGCACCGAGTGGCTTACATACAAAAGGTTCAATGTTGTCACCATCAATTCTCTCTACGTAGGGAACAAGCTGATTAATTTTTTCTTTTTTATTTGTTCTTTTTTTTACTTTTCAATAAATGGGAGAAATCTGACTGGATCTTACCCCAGGGATATGCATGAAGGAATTTCTATTGTTGCATCAGATGTAAAGCCTAGTGAAGTAAGCCTTCAAATTTTAAAGGATCATCAACGAACAACTCCAGCAAGAACTCGACATATCAAGGGTTGTAGCAGCTGGACTCTAAGTTGTATTGGACATATATAGGTTCCATCTTAACATAGGCACTCTCATCATTAGTGGTAAAACACAAACATGTGGAGAATATAAAACCATTCTTCACCTTTGAAACATTGAACCACAATGTTCCAATGGCGCTCCAATTGCAAATTAATTAGACCACGAGACTTGGTAGTAGAAACAAGTAACTCATCCCAAATATTTAGTATTGCTCTTCCATCCAGGTTTCAAAAGGGATGCTTGTCACCGTGAAGCTTAATAAACTACCACTTGAGCTTCTGGAAATGAAGAGTAGTTTGCCTAGAACTGCAATTTTTGACCGCCTTCAACAACATCCTTTGAGTTTCCTAAATATTGTTTATGACTTGAGGAGGACAATTGGGACCACCCATTGGCCCAATGTACATAACCCTAGACAACTTGGTTTGAAATCAGAAAACAACATCTGATCATGAGTATAAAGCTCCCGATAATAGCAATTGCAGGTTCTATGATTGCATTGAACATAATGGATAATGCATGAGGAAGATCAGAAGAGTTAAAATCCCATAGGAAAGAAAGCTACGCACCTGGAATATGGATAGCACTGTTACAGGATCAGTTGCTGATATGAGAGCACCAAACATAATGCTCTCAACAAATGGTAGTCTATACATGAGAAACATCAGTCCACCAAGATAACTGCAAAAACCGCAATATTATCAAAATATCAACTCCCAAAGTAAAAAATAAAAAATAAAAATAAAATGTGCAAGGAAGGAAGATAACTTCTATTTTGCATCAAAGAAAGTAACTCTTTTCTTCATAGAAGAAACCCAACTTCTGTTGGAAGTAAACTTACACCAATATCCCTGTTACGAAGGAAGCAATAAATGTTCCCAAAATGGCGAAGGTGACAATGGCCCCAAAGTTTGAGAAAAATGGTTTCTGCCAAGAAAAGTAGGGAGACAAATTAAATATGATGATTGGCGAGGAGTCTAAATATGCTAAATTAAAGCCAAAATTCCAAACTTACAGGTGGCAAGCTGAAGCCAGACTGAGTAGAAAATTGTCAAGGATAAACTTCTTGAAGCATAACAAAGCCGCAAACATAAAATTTCACACTAAATAGCACATCACATCAAAAAATGAATAAATAGCTATTACTAATTAGCAAGCCAGAAAATCAGGATATAAGATTATTGGCGGTAACAAAAAGAGGAAAAAGAATTCCTCATGGAAATTGAACCATGTCCTGCAAAATAGGCAACAAGTAAGATTTAATCACTCCCATAATCAACCATTAGGAAAAGCACATTCCCATTTATCCATTCGAAAACAACAGGAAAGAATCCCACTTGAATGTGCACAAGAACAATTAATTTCAAGCAAAATGCAAACCTAATGTTTGTTTCCGTATTTGAAATGTTTGCCAGAACCCCAACAATCATACCTGACAAAAAGCAATAAACGAAACATAAATTCCTGTCATGTAAAACCCAATAATCAAATAATAAATGAACTTTATCAGAATTTCTCTTCCTACAAAGATGCACAAACATAAGGGTTATTGTAAGCAAACAAAATAATTGTCCATTAAATCAAATTGCTGAGCACCACTGTGATCAATCATGGAGCCTAGTTCTATTCAATATGGGGAAATCCATAAAATTTTCACGAAAATACAACAAAAACAAAAAAATGTCTCTATTAGATCGTAGGATTGCGGAAATACCCTAGACTGGAAGAAAATGGAACCATGCTCCTAACAAATATCATTCAACTATAATGAATTGGAGAACTTGAGAACGGGAAATAGCAATCATCTTCTCTCCCAACACTAATCAAAATATTTGAAAGAGAGAGAGAAAATAAACCTAGTAGGCGTGCATGGATGAAAAGAACAGAGGAGTTCTGGAAAATTGAACAGAGAAAAGAAATGAAGAGAGAGAGGAGGGGTACCAATGAGGAGAGAAGCGCTGGCTTCAGGGAGATAGTAGAATTTGTGGCGCCGGAGAACATGACCTAAAACGAAGGAGAGGACGAGCATCATTATCTGCAGCAATATCCCCAATCCTGCCGCCTGTTGCTCTTTCCCAGGCGCCCCTGCTGGATTGGCAGATGCCATCTCCAACGCCGGCATCCTCTCTCTCTCTCTCTGAGAACAGGAGGACTGTGAGAAAATCGAGGCCAAATGGTAGGGGTTTCACATCCGCTTCGTTTTGGTGCTTCTTTCGTGTTGCGGTTCTTGACAAAGCGTCCAGTCTTCCAAGGCAAAGACAAAATAAGACGTTGGTATGTTTTGGTGCCCACTACTAGTCACGGTAAGGGGAGCCAATCGGGCCCGGGCGAACAAGACCCAAATTCGCCAACCTCATCCAGGATCCAGGTCTATTAGACGCAGTGGGTTGGATCTAGGTCTATATGTCCTAGATCCAACTTGGACCCTGACTGGTTGTAAGTCAATCTTGGGTCGTTTCGGCTTGGATCGGGTACATGTCTAGGTTGACCAATCGATATAGGCTCAAAACCTATGATTATATTATAAATTGCAACCTTCTACTATGGAAGTACATTGTATTGCAAAAATCCAATAGAGTTTCTGAAATTAGACAACTTTCCAATTGATTATCTCGACCTTAGCATGTATTGTTTAAAATAAACGAAGAATTTCAAGTCTAAAAATAGTTCATTTTGTAACAAGTTATCTAGATCATCTATTTTTAATATTTTGAAATATTTATAGATATGTTTAATCTGCATTATTTTAAAAATTTTAAATTTTATAATTAAAGTTGAATATGAATTTTCAAGCCAACGTAAGGTTTTCAAATGAACTATATCATTATCATCATTAGAGAGTTTTCCCAACTATTTAAGGTCGGCTACGCAAATTGTAGTTTGTTGTTGTACTCTATCAAGGGTCATATCCTCAGTGAGCTCATAAGTCCGGATATATTTTCTCAATATTTTCAACCATGTCCTTTTAGCCCTACTCCTTTGACTTTTTTTAGCTTTTCACTTGAACTAACTAACACTTCCTAACAGGTGGTGTGCTAGGTCTTCACTGCACATAGTTGGCCCACCTAGGTCTACTTTATCTCACCTTATCGCTTATTAATATCACATTAAATTTTTCTACCTATATTCATTTTGAATTATATCCCTTCTTATCTTGACACTCATCCATCTCAACATCATCATCTTACCTACACTTTTCCTATAGGTATGTTGTTTCTTGACCACCCAACATTCCGCCCCATAAAACAAAGTTGGTCTCACAATAGTCCTCTAGAACTTGTCATTGGGCTTTATTGGTATGCGGTGATTACATAAAACTCAAATTGCACAGTTCTACTTCATCCACCTAGCTCTAATTCTATGTACAATATCTTCTTCAATAGCTCCATTTTCTTGGATTATTGACCTAAGATATCGAAGGTGTGCTCTTTTTTATATTTATTTATCGTCGGTCATAATTATTTCCACATTTTTATTTTTATTATTACTAAACTTGTATTTTATATACTCTGTCTTAGTCCAGCTAATTTTAAAACTTTTAGATTCTAGAGCATCCCTCCAAAATTCTAATTTTTTTGTTGATGCCGCTTCGAATCACATCGATCAAAACTATATCATACAATATACACCACGGTATCTCATCTTGTAGGTGCCTAGTTAAATTGTCCATAACTAAGACAAAGAGGTTGGGTTCAACAGTGAACCCTGAGGGAGACCTATTGTCACTGAAAACTCATTCATCTATCTATTAGTTGTTTGCATATTAGTTAACACTATTTTGTACATATCTCTCACCAAGTCGATGTAGTATCTGGAGACTCATTTATTTTCCAACACTCAATAAATTAAATCTCATGGTACTCTATCATTAGCTGTTTCTAGATCATTAAAGGCCGTGTGGAAGTCTTTTCCTTTCATCCTGAACTTATCGATTAGTTGCCTTAAGAGAATAGCCTCCATTTTTTACCTCCTTAGCATAAAACCAAATCGATTTTCTGATCACCGAAGTTATAAATAAGAAATAAAGTTAAAAAAATTATATATTAGAGGCAGGGTCAACTTAGACCCGACCTGACTCATTGGCACCGTAATCTTAGTCTTGGCTCCACGTTTCTTGTTTGAAAAGACTCGGTTTGGGTGGTTTCTTCCATTTTGGTAGTAAGGAGAGGAGAGCACAATGCTAGTGAGTATGTATACATCCGAGTAATCAGCAGAAGCGAGTCGAAACAAAAGCATTCCTTATCCTGTCATGTGTATCATCAAGATAGAGAATCAATTGTAAAGATGAGCACTTAATCGATGTAAAAAGAGCTGGTGGCAAAGATGATATATGCCTAGGAAAGAAGTCCTCGAAGTAACCATGCGTAATTTTGTAATTCAAATTTTAAACTCTAACAATGGTTCAAATCAAGTTGATCTATAGACATATGAAAGTCTTGAAAATGGATGGTTTAGAAAATGTGCTGCAAGAAACACTATTTCGCAGACTCGAAATCTTTCTTTCTTTTCATATTCGTACATCTCGATGTCGAGGTGATAAATTAGATGGTTTTCCAACATGCAAACAACCTTTTATGATTGATTTTTGAGGTGCAACTATAATTCTACATTTTAAGATTGCAACATTATATAAACTTTTTCCAAAAATAAATAGGTACATTTCTATAGAATAGAGATTATATACTATGAGATTGCATATCAAGTATAAGGAGGTCAAAATGTTGGTAGTTGGATGTGAAATTGTGTAGATGTAAGAACCCCATGGTTCAAAAACCCAAAAAAATAAAAATAAAAAAATAAATAAATTGTGGTGTATCAAATTCATAATATTTCACATATAACGACTTTGGGCGATTATGATCTCATGTACAAAAAATAAATTAATATTTGTAATATACAATACCAAAAATATTCTCCATTAGTCTATTTAGTAGGAGCATGGTAACACAATTATAGGACATGGTGCCCATTGAGAAGGGACACAGGTGTTCGCACTAAAAGCATGGACCATAACACAATGGACGCTTCTTATATTGGAGGTTCTTCATATGGCCATGTAAAACATGGAAGTTGTTTTAAGTGCTGACCCGGTTGGTCTCTTCAACTGGTACAAACAGGAGCTTCTAGGATATTCTTTTATTTTCATAATCCACCCACCTCGATATTAAGTTTAAAAAGGCGGGTTTGGAAGATAAAAAACAAGTAGTTTTAGAAAACATAGCAGGAACTCTCAGAGCCGTAAAAACTGATATATTTGCTTGGTCTGTTTTATTGAACAAACTTGACCTTTGACATCACTCTCATGAACCAGATGTGTTACTGCTAGACCAAAGTTTAAGGTAATGTTTACAAAACCGGCCGGGTTGACCCACAGCCGACTGGGTTACTCTGACCCGCTTAGTGGGAGGGTCCTGTTTTGGCCAGTTTTCTTTGTTTTTGGCCAGTTTTCTTTGTCAAGTCGAGGATTAAAAGAAAAAAATGCCATTAAAAATCCCAAAAAAAGAATAAGAAATTAATTTGTTATTCCAAAAAAAGAATAAGAAATTAATTTGGCAAATATTGGAACGTGTTGTGGTCATCAATATTTCCTTTTTGAATTATTTTTAAAATATCCCCGATCACAAATTGATTTTTTTTTAATTTATTTTCAATAGTTTTTTAACTTCATTTACATGTGTTTTGTTTAATTTTAGTTTAACTATAATTGTCATATTTTGGGTTGTTTTGTATTTTTTAACAATTTTTTGGCCTAGCCTGAGTCCACCCAACCTAGAGGGACCGGGCCCCCATGGCTGGATTACCAGCTTGAGTCAGGTAATCTAACACTGCTTTAAGGAAATATTTTATTATTATAAACAATGAACAAATACTCCACTGGGAACTCACCCCCTATCCGAGGCAAGTTACCAAACTCGGCTACGCCCAGCATATGGCTCAAAGGCCCTAAGAAAATATAAAAAATAAAAATAAAAATTTAAAAATAATCTTAAAAATTAAAATATGTAATAAAAGTAAAGTCAACCCAAAGATCCTTTTAAAAAAGTGATACAAAGAGAAATTATAGATTTCAAAAAACCCCATTGAATATTTTAACAAAAAAATAAAAAAAGAAAATATAAAAATGTGATTATTGCAAGAACCACTCACTAATTATTGCCAAATACATCTAAATCATGCAAAAAAAAATGTATAACAAAATTTATTTTTTTACATTTTTTCTACTTTTGAATTTTTAAACTTCCCGAATGAAAAACATTTGCCAAACAAGAAAAAACAAAAAAAGATTAAACAATGGAGATATGAAATTAAAGGAAAAAGTTTATATAAGGATGCCACCTTGTAATGTAGAACTACAGATGCCCCTCAAAAATCCATTGGAAAAGGTGGTTTTAATATTGAAAAACTCTTTGATTGATCATCTCGACATCGAGATGTATGATTATGAAAAATAAAAAGATTTTAAGTCTCAAAAATAGTACATTTTACAACATAGTATTTACACTGTCTATTTTCAAGATTTCCATATGTTTATAAATCTACTTGATTTTAACCATTTTTTAAATTAAAAATTTATAATTCGATATAAAAATAGATTTTGAGATAATCCTAAGAACATTATATATTAAAATTATACACCATGATAAAATTTGAAGGTGCACCTTACCTTAACTCTTAATACCTACGGATGCATCCGTATGCAAACTACATCTAAAATTAAATTATCACTTAGCTTTAACATTCCATTGAAGGAAAAGCCCATGTGGTGTATTAAAAAATAAACAGTTGGTGTATGATATTACTTTTTTTTTTTTTTTTAATTTAACTGAGAAATAACCAATCTATTTGGGAGAATTTAGATATGGCATCAATAGACGATAAGATGAGAGAACGTAGACTTAGGTAGGCTGGCCACATGTGGCGTCGACCAAGTATAGCACCTGTTAAGAGTTACGAGTTAGTGCAAGTGGAAGGACTGAAAAGGGTAAAAGATATGCCAAAAAAGACATAGTTTGAAGTAGTCCCAAAAAATATGAGGACTTATGGCCTCACTAAGGGTATGACTTCTATTAAAGCAAAATGAGGTTCGTGTAGCTGACTCCAATTAACTGAAAATGAGTGAGCCGACTCCAATTAATTGAAAAAAACTATGATGATGATGATTCGTATAGCCGACCCAAGTAATCGAAAAAAATCTATAATGATGATGAACTAGGACATGACCGAGCATCGTGCTTCAGCCGATAAGATGGAAATTTGATAACCAGTAGC